TATATATATATATATCAGAGCAGTTGCTGGGAAATTTATTGATCAGTTATAAATATAGAATAGGATGTTTATGTGAGTGCATCAAATATGAAGATTGCTTGTTCTATTTTGAGGATGAAGAAATTGGTTTGAGGGAAGAAATATTTGCAATAATGTATAGAATCCAGAAAAATGTTTCTTGCTGGTTGTGACAATGGTCAGAGCAAATCTGTAATCTCTTTTGTGAATAAAAGATCTCAGTAATGATGCTTTATCATCAATGAAAGCATCTCACAATGACACAGTTGCAGCCGCTAGCAAATAAAAACCTGCTTGTAACTTGTCTTCAAAAGACATTTTGTAATATTATAGTGGCTGAAAGCAACTTGTCAAAGCCATAGGCATCAACTGATTATCTTTAAATTTATATCAAGGAAAATATAAATTAATAATTTATAGAGAATTAGTATTTTTAATACATCTTTACTTGTTTCAATATTGTTTTTCTTTTTTCTAGAAATTTGAAAAACACTATCAAAAATTAATGAACAGAATAAAAACAAAATGTATTTTTCAATGGTTAAATGTTATGCAATACCATTTTCAGCAACCTTTTCCCCAGATTCTCAGTATAAACCATTAAACAATGAAATAGTTTCACTTGATCAATTTACTTTTAGTTTAAGCACTGAAATAAATAATGTAAAAAGTGTCAGGTAAAATATTTGTTCATCTTTTGTTAATAATTGTTTTCTATTTCAAAGACAATTTTCAAAAGCTAAAAATATGACAAATTCACTTCACAACACAATCAAAATTTACCTTGCATGCAGTAGAGAGCCCACATTCACAGTACAATATTTAAATTGTATAAATTGCTATTTAACCGTTGTTTCTTTTCATGCCTTCTAATATATAAATATAAATAAAAAGCAAAATTCAAACTAAGAGCAAAAATAATCTTGAACATTCTTGAAAGCATTATACATTTTTTATTATGACTGTTTTTATTTATATCTTTATATTAATAATGTAATTTTAAAAACTCATAAATATATCTTAAATCTATAAAATCTTTAAACTTGATTTTTGCTCTCAGTCTAGATATTTTCTTTAAACTATTTTGAAAAGAATACAGTTTCAAAAAATATTCCAGAGAAATGCTTTTATAATATGAGCTTGAATATATTTTTGAAGAAGGCAACTTCATGAATGCTGAAATCTGGAATTCATCAAATGAACTGGAGAAAGGTCATTTGTATAGCATCTTATATTACCATACATGAATTTCACCCATATCACTAATTGAAGAATTGCCATTGAAAAAAAAAATGTAATAACTTTATTATCATAAAGAAAAACAAATGAATAAACTCATTTCATAAGTTTATGTTTCAAATTTTGCAGCTCGCTATTTTATAAAGGTAATCACTTTTTACCAAACTGTTTATTTAAAAAATGTAATACAAACAGATTAAAATCAGTTTCAGATATCTAGAGAAAATGTAAGGCTGTATATATAGATATAGATATTTTGTGTGGAGAATGTACAATCTTGCTCACAAGAATTGAATTAAAAGCTTTCTTTTGAATTAAAGCAATATTATACATTACAGTTTTTCAAAAAATTGTTAGTAAGTATCAAAATTTATTGACTATTCTTTGTATATTTTATGTAATTAGTATGTAAGCTGCAGTCTTTTTCAGATTCCAATGCATTTTCCTTTCTCACTACACTACATCATTAAATGATGTACATAAACAGCATAATATTTGTGGGCAACAGTGCAGGAAATTAAAAGGTTCACAACTGCTAAAGGCTAAAAACCATATAAATAGATTGAACAAATTATCACAATTCCATGTAAATTCAAATCATATCCATTGTATATATAACTTTATTTGAAGAGCTATAAATAAACCAACTGCAGATATTTTCAAAAAGGAGGAAAATTACAATTTTTAACAATTATAATAAAGTTTTATGAAAACAAGTGTTAAATACAAAATCATTTGCATTTTAGATGAATTAAAATCTCAAATTATTGAGTATATCTATAGCTCTTCTCTTTTCTTTGCACATGAAACTTTACAGTTAAGATATAAAGATTTAACATTTGATATAGAAAAAATATTAAGAACATTTTCCCTTTTTAGCAAGTATTCAATTTTTGTTTTGCTTTTAATTTTGTACAATCAACTTATGTTCAGATATTCTATTTCCATAGCTGTCATTGTGGTTCTACTGATAGATCAAATTCAATACAATGATAGATTTATTTATATTCATTTTTAGTATTTTCCCATTATTGCTACAAAAAAGCGTAACAATGAAAACAATAAGTGAACAGAAATTTCTAGCATTTAAAATTTAATATGTCCACCATGATGCTACCAGTTTAAATTTAAAATTCTTGTTGAATCAAAATCTTTATTATTCTTTATTCTACTCACTAAATGTGTATCGATTGATTTGAACAAAAATTAGTACTAAAAAAATAAATGACTGAAGAAACTGAAATGGGTCAGGCTGACATAAGACTTCTTCAGATTTGTAATGACTCCTTTTTCTTTTTATATGGTTGGACATTCTGTCTGTCAATTAGAGGATTAAATTTTAGACCACTATATACATATCAAGTGAGAATAATAAATGGATGGTAGTTTGATATTCCTGACAACTTATGTCTTCTTGGTGCTAGTTGTGGGGATTCAGCAATGCATTAAGTAATTGCTTTTCAGAATACAACCAATCCTTCAGTGCATTTGCATTGGCCTCACGTCATTTATATATAGATAAATTGTAAGGAGCATCTTATACATTGACAACAATTTATGAATAGCTTACAGCAGAATAACTTTTAGCTCTAATTTATCTACTAATTTTTTAAATCTTAATAGTTTGGAATAAGTTTTATGGTTTTCATCCAGAAAATAAAATGTTTGATTAATTTATAATTCATGCTAAAAATGAGAAAAAAGTGCTTTCAAAGTTTATTTTTAGCAAAAAACATTAATAGGAATAACTTATTAAATCATTACACTGGTTTCCGAGAGCTACATGTTAGCTCATGAAATCTGTTAATTCACTAAAACTCTCTGGGATTTTTAAACTGAGCTGATCATTCATTTTTACTAAACTGTTTTGAAAATATATTTTTCCATGAAATACTAATGAAGTAGTTGGTTATGGAGTTAGATTATAGAATTAAAATTTTATGTGGTTAATTCAAAGCAATGTGGGTGTGTGTATATATATATATATATATATATATATATATATAAAAAATATAGTTTTAAGGTATGCTATATTTATGGGTAAAAGTGCTCAATATCAGGGATAGAGTGTATGTAAATATAATCTTCAGGTCATGAAAATTGAGTTCAAGCATGAAATAGACTGTCACTGGATGGCAGTGACGTCAGTGTATATATATATATATATATATATATGACATACAGCAATAAAAGTGTAGATATTGAACAAAATTACCAATGTTTGTGTGGATGTGTGTATGTAAAGAATATATCTTACAATTTTCTCTTCGAGAAAATGAATCAAGTTACCTTCAAAATTCACCTACTCAAACTTTAAATAATCTGCATGGAAAAATCATACTCAAAAGAAAATAGCAAGTCCTTTTAAAAATTTTATTATTGGTGAATTATTTAGATAATTATTGGAATGGAAAGATGCAATTTTTGTCACCAGCAGTAAAAATTTTATTTTTTCAACTGCATAAATTGTTATTGTTTTAATGTGTTTTAATTACAACCTTTACATAATTACATTTAAAATATTTTATGCACTGAATATATCAAGAATACAAAATTTCTTATACCCTTTCATATCAATAACAAGTGTTTGGAAACACATGAAGATATATTTATACCACTGTAAATATTAAATAATTATTAGATAATTTTGCTCATTATTTTTTTTAAGATTTGCTTACAGCCTGACATAGAATAGGGATTTTCCACTGAGTTTACAAAAAAAAAAAGAAAGAAATTAAGTGACATTTAGAGTAGGAATTGATTTCTTAAAAGTGTCTATTTTTGCTACAGTTATGTCTACAGATAATGTTTTTGTGTTTTGAACAGAACAGGTGATACGTTTTCCTTCCAAACAATATAATGTATGAATTTTTCCTGGTTATTTATCTGCAAAAAATATGCTGAGTACCAATACATTTAATGTAATAAAAAGTAACATAGAATTTATAGGCATATAATATAAACTTTAAGAAATGACTGGCAATCAATTAATGTTCTCTTTTTTTTTTTAGATTTTTAACATAATTTTTATGAAAAATGTTATATCAACAAATGTTTTTCTTTTTGTTTTGTAGACTGTATACATCTTAAAATTGATATATTTCATACAGCTTGTGACAGAAGAATAGCATTTTTGAATGTAATCAGTTAGAACAAAAGAATCATTGTGACACAAATATGCAAAATAAAATAATGACCAAAGTTTAATATAAATTTTATGAAATTCAGTTAAATATGATTTTTAGAAAGAATAAAATTATATTGTTAAAAGTTTAACAAATGTTGCTAGAAAGTCCTTATTTTCAAAATAAAGATCACTTTTTTCTAAATATCTGAAAATATTTTAGCTTTGAATTCAACTGTGAAAAATTGCAGCAGTCAATATATAAAAAGCTTATAAACTGTTTTCAAAATAGAATTTTTCTGTGCCAGAAGGTGATTGTTCAAGGATGAGAAAATTACAGCTTGAAAATATGATGAAAATGATAGTACAAATTTAAAATTTACAATATTTAAATATAACATTTGCGAAATATTAATTATTTTTTAAGAAATATTGTTTCATAGTAGAATATTATTTCACTGTCTTTTTTTTCAAACTTTGTATTTTACACACATAGCTTCAGATGTGTTCAATAAAGAATATACTGAAATATATATAAAAAAAACTAAAAATAGTCAAACTAAAATAGGAAAATGTTAAATTTTATAACAGCAAGAATAAAGTACCTGGTATAGCCTACCTTAGGAGTGTCTTTAAGTTTTTGCCTGGTCTGATGACCACGAAAATTTGCTTGAATTTTTGTAGCAGCAGCACTGACCTCTGGGTCAGTTAGGTCAATGTCGATAGCATTGTCTTCTGTAATTGCACTGTTGTTAGCATCTTTTTCATTTTCTAGATGTTCTGATTGTTGCTGAGGAATATAGTCAAGACAAACAGCATGCAGTCAGGCAATGGCAACCACTTTCACTGGCAAAGTTAGCAGCAAGAGAGAAGAAAAGTGGGAGGGGAAAAGAAAATGCAATTCCAGGAGAGGAGATGAGATGAGTGAGTAAAACAAGGGGAGGAATGAGAGAAAAGGTGAGGTGATGGTGGTGAAAAAAAGCAGGAAAAATCTCTATGTGGTGGAAGAGCAACAGCCTTTGCCACATCCCTGTAATACAACGGAAATATCATAAAAAGTAAGGACAAAAAGCAAGATGAGAACTGGCAGACAGTAGCTGCTGTCAGCTGATTTATCCACTTAGATCTGTTTTGCTTTAGAGGATGGAGTAAACAACTGTTAAATAAATGAATACTTACCACCCATACAACTAAGTTCACCTTTCAACCCTTCTCTGTTCATTCACATGCTGATACTTTGTTTGATCAATGGATGAGTCTAAGAGATTCAAACTATCAACAAATGGATGATCATTAATTGTTTACTAATAAAACCTGTGAAATATGTTTAGATTGAATCTAAACAAAATTTGCTTTTCAAATTTCTTTTCATGTTTCATAATTTGACATCCTGATATATTTTGATCAAGGGATTTTAGAAGTGATATATATACCATTTATTTCAATCAATTTGATGATTTCAATCCAGTTTTTATAGCTTATATATAAAAAATTAATTTCAATTTCAGCAAATTCATGATGTATATAAATCACATAACTAATTGTATTCAAAATTTTATTATTTTCCATTAAAAATAAATAAGTTGCACATTATTATCTTCTTCAATATCATATAGGGATCAAGCAGCAGTATTAGAAGTTTCTTAGAAATGAAAATAAATCCTAAAATATTCCCAAACAAAAAGAAACTGAGTTTGTTTTCCTTCAATTTTCTGAATATTTTATGATATCTTAAGAGATACTAAAAAATGTTGAAATAGAATTAATTTGCGAATTTTTTTTGCTTCAATTCACAAATGTATAAAAATGCATTGATTATAAAAATAGCAATAATTTAAAATGCTATTTTGTCACAAAAATATTTTTATCTCATTTTTTAATATGGGAATTAACTCAACAATGAAAAGTGAACAGAGTTGATATAATTGAAAATTAAAAAGACGGTTTTTAAAAAATAGATTAATTTTACTTTTAGGAATGATTTGTAATATTAAGTTGAAAAAATATTGTTAAAAAGTACTTAAATATAATTTAAATATAATTGTTTCCTAAAAAAATACACAAAATATCTAAATTAGTGCCAATGTAATAAAACAAAATTTGCACAAAAATTATTTTTGTTTTAATTTCACTGATAAAATGAATCAATCCAAAGAAAGTGAACAAAATTAGCTTTCAAAAATTAACCAGTCTTTCATTATAATGTGACTGAATATTTGGAAAAATTCCTCTCTCTATCAACTAGTCACATGCATTATATGATTTCAATACTGTTTTTAAGTAACTTCTTTATTTTACTACTGATTAGCAAAAATAATGATTTAAGTAAAATTGTATAATAGATTATACATTATACAATTTTACTTAAAGCATTAATTTTGCTGCATTCTCTAAAATGAGAGTATTTCAGTAAAATTTTTATGGATTTTTATTTGAAGCTACAAAATTCAGTTATCTATCAAATCTACAAATGATTAACTGAGTCCAAATGTATATTTCTCAGTCATTTTTTCTTTATTTATTCTGAAGCACATGCATATAGATAGATATTGGTTATCATACAAGGAAATATGTTTTTATTCAAAAGCTTAATCCTATTATTGTCAAAAAGTTTGGCTTAAAATGTAAATTTATTTATGCAATAATGATAACAAAAATAACATCTTCAGAGACTAAGTCTCAGTTAATATATTTAGAAATGTAGTGTCTAAAAGTGTGAGTCATCACCTAAATTTTTAAAAAGTCAGGAAAACTAGTATTATTTAATTAATAACATTAAAAGCATACTTCTTACCTCAAAAGTTTCTACTTTGTTAACATTATTATCAACTTGGATAAAGTAAGTTACTTTTTACTTATTATTACTATTGTTGCTGGGGGTGTTATCATAATTTAGCATTATTAGTTAAGCATAGAATTACAGCAATAAACTTTAATAAATCAAGAACTACTTTCTTTTTAAAATTTTAAGGTTAAAAATAAGATCAGCTGCTACCATCAGATAATTATTTCATTAATAGTGTGGTTTATCATACTCATCAGTATTAATAATGTTGAGATCTGCTTCATACTTCTTCAATTATTTTTATATCTTCTGCTTTGCAGAAGTAAATCAATAAGTCTCTAGCTTATTGATATATTATATAATAAATATATTTTTTAATTTAATCTCCTTCCTTGACAATGCCCTTCCAAAACTAGGCAAAAAAGTATGGCTTATTGGTGGGAAGGTCCAATGTTTACTACCATGCCACTAACATAATAAAATAGGAGGTATTACTTTTGGAGCTTGAATTAAGTGTATGCAGAGCATTTTACAGCTTAGAGACACATATTTCTTTTCTAAGTATAAAAGCTAATCTTATACATTAACATAAGCCATTTTGACCAATCAATAATAGGATGACTGTCATCTTTTGAAAAATAATCTGGATTTAAGATCATTTGTCTTCTGCCAAGCTAATTGTAATTAGTAATCATGAAAGTGAAGATTCTGCAGTTTTTAATTCTTAGGAGAAGCAGCTGAGTAAATAATAAAACAAGAATAAACTTAAGTTTTTTGTTCATAAATATAATTCTTTTATGTAAATTGATTATTTCCTTAAATAGACTCCTCTCTATATGCAAAAAGTTATAAACAAAATAAAAAATGACTAAATGAACTCAAAGACAATGACAAACCAACTAATTTAGCCAGGTTTTATTGAAAACATCAATGGGACATTAACATCTCAACTTTATGTCCAATAAATTTTAATTCACCAATATTTAACTAGTCATTGTGTTTGTAACCAAATGAGGTTAAGTGAATTTAGTTCATTTTGGAAATGATCAAAACAGTATACAGATAGGGTGAATAAAAGTCAGTCAGTATACTGATTATAGCTCAAGTTCAAGCATAGACAATTTTATTGTTATGATTTCCACCAATGCACAGATGAAGTGATATAAAAACTCCTTGATTTTCTTTTATTAATCATTTTTACATACAAAGGACAAAATGTTTGAATTTCTTGTGGAAAAAATTATGAATGTTTAAACCAACAAATCCTCTTTTATTATCAGGGAAAAATATACAGTGCAAATGATGCATAAACAGAAGTTTTAAAAAGTTTTCACATATAAAAAACAAATAGTTTTCTTATAGTCTTCCTATTTAATCAATAATGAACTTGAAAATTTATCAATACATAACTTAATTAAATTTCTTGGTTACTTTCCAAAAAAATACAGGCGTTTTTTCACTAGCTCTATGCTTTATTAAATCTTTTTGAAAATTTATAGATGGGAATATTGCAAGTATTAATAACTTTTTCAAAAGATAATTAAATGTTCAAAATATGTTCTTCATCTTATAATTACTAAAACTCATTATAATTTCTTTTCATCTCACTTTTTAAACATTTTATCTAATTTTTAAATTATTTTAAAATTCTTGGATATGTATAAAAGTACAGGGTTTCCCTAAAGTCTGAACACATAGGAAATCTCATTAACTTAAAATTTTTTTACCTCCACAAATTAAACACAGTTTTGTCAAAAGAACTGACTTCTTTTTCTGGGGTATGTTAAAGGAGAAGGTGTACTCAATGAAAATCACAGCTGCAACACACTTGATTGAATGCATAAAGAGTGAATGGACTAAAATTGATGGCAATGTGAAATTATTACATTGAGTTCACATGAATTTTGCAAAGTGCATTAACGTTTGCATCACAAATGATGAAAATTATATTGAAGATGTTATTCATTAACATTCCAATTCAATAAAATGTTGAAAATTTCATTTCTTGAAAATATGCATTTTTGCCTATGTGTCCAGATTTTAGGGATACCCTGTAGTTCTTTTTAGAAAACTAAGTTTCAGTTTTAACATGACCATTACAGATTACAGTTTAAAGTAAGAGAAAAAGAGGGGAATTAAAAATTACTTAATATGTGCAGACTTGTGAGAAAGTGAATCATTCTTTAATTTTCTTCAATGTTTTGAATGATATTTTATTACAGTGGGTGCTTTCTAAGCAACATATAGTAAGTAATATTACAATAATTTTTTTAGTAAGAATCAAATACAGAATAAAAACAGATATGGTTTGATGAAATGATTTTTCAAAATTCTTCAGTTATATATATTTCTAAAATTCTTCAGTTTATATACAGTTTATTCCATACAATGCAGTCCAAAAATAAAATGGTTTTGCAAGGTAATTTTATCATTATTTCTATAAAACTATAATTTTTACTAATAATTTACAATTTTATGGTATTGATCTAAGTTCTTATTTGTGTAGTACAACTTTTATCAATATATTTCTAAGTCCTTTTTTTACAGTATAATAATTATATGCTAATGTGTATACATAATATATATTTTTTGGTAGTTTTTGAGCATTGTATCTTCATTCATTGGTGGTTGTTATGTTGGGTATCATGTCAGTTTTTCATGTATCACTTCTTCATGCGTCAATTTGTAGAGTGGTACCACACATGTTTTTATATTATTAGTTGTGAAATATATTTAGTATGTTTTGTTCTAAATCAATTGATAATTTAATTAATGTTGGGTTGTTTGTTTTTCATGGTTAAGTATTTTAGTTGTTTTTTATACTATACTGTATAGTAATTTGTGTTGTTGATAAAGATTTTCTGGATTTCTTGTGCCTTGTTTGTGCATTGGCTGATAATATACAATTTAATTGGACTATTATCAGATAATTTAAAAAAAAATAATTTCACCCCAAGCAAAGCAATAAAGCCACTAAGAGTTACTGAGTGTGAAAGAATTTAAGA